TGGAATTCGAGTCCCTCGAACCGAGCTGACATTTTTAGCACAGCGTTACGGTAGGCTGCCATTTTCGGATCCTTGGCGTCAAAGTCTCCATTTATCTGGGATATTGCGAGGTTTGAATCCCCGCGCACCTCTAGGCGTTGAATACCCATGGAGATTGCCATCCGGAGGCCATGTAGCAGGGCCTCGTATTCGGCTGCATTGTTGGAGTCCGTGTACATTATTTGAAGTACATATTGGACTGTGTCTCTGGTTGGGGACGTCAAGATGATGCCAGCCCCCAAGCCCGCCAACATTTTGGAGCCGTCGAAATGCATGATCCAATTGGAGTATGTGCCGTACTCTTTAGGGAGTTCGGCTTCGGTCCATTCGGCGATGAAGTCAGCCAAAACTTGCGACTTTATAGCCCGCCGTGGTTTGTAGGTTATGTCAAATGGTAAGAGCTCAATGGCCCATTTTGCAATCCTGCCCGTTGCGTCGCGATTGTTTATAATATCGTTGAGAGGTACTTCGGAGGCCACTGTTATGGAACACTCTTGAAAGTAGTGTCGCAGCTTCCGGGATGCCATGAACACCGCATACGATATCTTTTGATAATGTGGGTACCGGGACTTGCATGGAGTCAAGACAGTGGATACGTAGTACACTGGTTTTTGAAGAGGGAATTTGTGCCCTTCTGTTTCTCGTTCGACGACGAGTACCGCGCTGACAACTTGATGTGTTCCTGCGATATATAATAGCATTGGTTCGCCCAGGTTGGGTGCGGCCAGGACCGGAGTCATTCTGACAGGCTGCACCAGCCACACTTTCCACTCGTGTTGTAACTATTACTCTGCTTCCATTATCATCTTCTGGAAAAGCACAATTAATATTATCCCATGCTGATTGATCCCACACATCATCAAAAACAATAAGGTACCTGTTCAAATGTTTGCAGAGGTCAAATACATTATAATATAATACAATTAATTATAGACAAGATCATCATAATTTTCACAAAGTAAGTTCCATAATAAACTCTTTCATATTCTTTATTGGTTGACATAGATAAAAAAATCTATGTCAAGTTGGTCGGCATAATTGTCATAAACACTAAATGAAACAAATAGTTATAAAAGTTAATATATACCACGTCCGAATCATAGCCAGGACAAGGGCCGACAGAGGCGGATACCAAAACCATCACACTATATAATAACAAAAAATAATAAAAGTAAGATAATTACACAAATATCTATCTAAATCATACGAGTAAGAACTTTTTACTTTTAGAAAGAAGATACGAACAAAAGGCTCACCACAGTGGTGCCGGCAACGAGATCGGCGCGGGTGATCGACGGCGATGAGGACGGGGACAGGATAGGACGGACCGCCAAACCTCGAAAAAATCTCGAGAAAAATGGAGTTTGGACAAGGAGTTTCGAGAGGAGAAAGCTTAAGTGTGGCTCGGGCATTTCATCGGACACCTCATGTGCATAGGAGGTGAGTTAGAGTACCACAAAGCTCTCCCGCCACCAGGAAAAAAACAGAGCCGTACACTGCTCTGCTCGCGGGTGGGGGGTATATATAGGCATCTCATTGGTCCCGGTTTGTGGCTGAAACTGGGACTAAAGGACCCCATTTGATCCCGGTTATAGCCAAAAATCGGGACCAATGATTGTGGGCCAGAAAGGAGGCCCATTGGTCCCAGTTTATGCCTAGAACAGGACCAAAGAGTCCAGACAAACCGGGACCAATGGCCCACGAGGCCGGCCAGCCACCTGGCCTCACGAACCGGGACGGATGCCCCCGTGGGTCCCGGTTCGTGAGCAAACCGGGACTAATAGGCTGTCCAGTCCTGGACCAAAGCCCGTTTTCTACTAGTGAGAACCCTGTGTGTGCTCATGCCATGAGATGTGGGAGCTCCTATAGGCCGCTCGCTGCGGCAAAGTGTCGGCACTTCGCACAGGAGCGGCTAGCGTGGGCCGGCCCATTTACAGTGGTACGCGACAGTGCTTTCCCGAGATGAAAAAATCGCAAAAAATAAAATCACGGTAACGCAGAACTCGAACACGCGACTTCGCACTTACTGACCTGCCGTGCGAACCACTGCGACGTATACCATTTCATCTTCAATTAGCACCCCGACAGTAAAAGACATATATGACAGAGACTAATGTTAAACATTAATTCGCAAAATATTCTAAAAATTACAGTCAATTTATTGGGTCGAATCGACGACCTCCTACAACTGAATTTTTCGAAATTATGAATATTTTCTTCAAAACAAAAACATTTTCTGAATTTTCGTACAAATTTTGTAAAACAGGAACATTTTGATGACGTGAACAAATTTGAAAAAGGGAACATTTCTTGAATTTGTGAACAAAAAATAAAGATGTTTACTTTTTAAAACTTCCAGAACATTTTTTGAATTTGTGAACAAAATTGAAAAACATGAACTATCGTTGAATTTGTGAGCAAATTAGGAAAGCTGGAACATTTTCTTCAATTCCCAAACATTTTTTGAATCTTGAGAACAAATTTTGAAACAGCGAACAATTTTGAAAAATCCTGAACAAATTTGGAAGCGCGAACAATTTTTTTAAAGTACGAACAGTTTTTGAATTTTGAGAACATATTTTGAAATGGAGAACAATTTTGAAAAATCCCGAACAAATTTGGAAGTGCGAACATTTTTTTAATATGTGAACAAAAAATTGAAATCCAGTACATTTTCTGAATTTCAAAAGTTTTGTACTTTTGTGTGTAGCGTGAACAGATTTTGAATTTTGAGAACATTTTTTGGAAACACGAACAAAATTTAAATTTTTTGATTTTTTTTAAAAATATAAGAAAAGAAAAAGAAATAAAAAAGAAAATCGTAAAGATTTTGTAAAACTGCGAACAAGTTCTAAGAAAGAAAAATAAACTTGCAAAAGAAAATGTAAAAAAAGAAAAAAATGAAGAAAAACAGAAACGAAAAAAGAGAAATGAAAAACAATAGAAATCCGAAAAAGAACCAGAAAAAGACGATACAGGAAAAAACCCGGTTCAGGGAACCCTCTAGAAGGTTCCCAAAACCGGTTGGATGCGTATAAGTGGGCCGGCCCAGGTTTTGTCGCTCGCTGCGCTGCCCTGTGCGGCAGCCCGACATTTTGCCGCAGCGAGCGGCGAATAGGGATTTCCATGAGATGTTAACAACTTTCTAAATTTATTCATTAAAAAAACAAAATCAGGTTTTCATATTTTTTTTAGAATGTTCTCATCTTCAAAAAATTGTTCATGTTTTTAAAAATTACTCATGATTTTCAAAAAGTATTTTGGAATCTTTAGTGAATGTTGACTTTGCGGAGGTTGCCGACGAACACCCACCAACACCATAATCTGAAGATCCAGTTGTATTAAGTGAATTGATACGTATTTTTTAGGAGGTAAATCTCTTTTTTCTTTTTGAGAAATTTGAGGGGAATTTTTTTAAACACAGTGCACACGCAAACGCTCATATATACGCGCATATACTTATCCCTCTGAACATACGCGCACACACTATCCATATGAGCACCTTTGAGAGACTGAGCCGGTATATTATCTTGAGATTGACGAAGTCACCGTAAATGTTTTGTAGTCGACAGGAACGCCTTCTTCTACCGAACGCGCATTGTTAAAAACCCTGAAATAAATCCTGGATAATACGAGCATCAGAATTTGAACCCCGATGAACGCATAAACATTTTCTATTCTATAAAAAAAATAAAGGTTTCCAATCAATATTCGTACAGATGAGTCACATTTTTCGTTTGTCCTCGCGAAAAAAGAAGCGAAAAAGAGTCCCTCGACACTCGACAGATAGGCAACCTCGACACGGCGGACAGAATTGCTGCGCGGCGGCGGCGGCGGCCCGGATCTGGGCTATTATTGAGCTTATCCAGGAGGAGGTTGTCCGTGAGCCACCGGGGGCGTGCCTGGGCCAGAGCGGGAAGAGGTCTTCGAGGCAGCACAATGGGTCGGAGGTCGACTCGTGGCGGCGGCGGGGATCGGAGGTCGCGGAGGTGCCCCGGCCTTCTTCTTGTAGATTGTGTTACTTCTTCTCTTTGTAGTTTCCTTTCATGTTTTATCTACGTGCAAAATCTTCATCTCAATGGTTCCTTTCTTTCTTTCTTTCTTTCAGATTCAGATGGATCTGCTACAAAAATACTACCACAAAATTCATCAGCTGCAGCAGGACAAGATTAATTATATTGGCGACTTTTTAAAGGATTAATTGGTAACGAGCATCTGCGCTTTGATTTTGAAAAATAAGAATTAAGGTACACTCGAAATTTTGTCAGTATTTACTTTCTTTGCATGGGTATTATCTACAGCTGTTCTGAATATATGGTATCCTCTTGCAACTTCAGTCATCCTTCAAGTACTCATGCCTTTCCATGTTTGTTGCTCGTTGATGCACAGATTAGGCTTACTTTAGCTCACAACTAGCCTGACTTACAATATTGAAAATAGGAAACACCCTTAGCCAAGTCCGATGATGGGCAACGGGTACTCGAGTTCGGAACCAAGGATTGAATATATATGCCTCATGAAGAATACATACATATAGTTCTAGTACATCAGTATCTGCCATTTCTGTTTTGCAAAATTAAAGGACTCCATCTCCTACCAAAAGAGCCGGCCAGATGAGACATAGTAGTTGTACCTAACCAAATACTTACAATACTACAAGATTAAGCTACCGAGTTTTCTGCTGGCTTAATCAAATATGCCACTTGCTGAAAAAAAATTCGAGCTAGCTAACACAGAGTATTGTCTCTCCTGGTTGGATGGGCTCAAGCAACTTCCTGCTTCTTAATTCCTTGAGGTTTGTCTGTACATGGTCTGCGTGGTTACCTACCGCTGGAGCCTGGAGGCTATTGGTTCAAGGAGCTGTCTTGCCCACCTACCCTACACAAACCGCTAGAGCCTTTCTGCTGCTTCCATCGCTACTCCGGCGAGGCCAGGCGAGGCGGCCGGCGGTGTACAGATAGATGGAGGTGGCTCTCGGCTCAGCGGCCTCGCTCCTTGGCAAGGTGTTGACGACGCTGTCCGACAGCCTGGTGGCGGCGTACGTGGACAGCCTTCAGCTCGGCCACAACTCCGACCAGATCAAGGACAAGCTGCTGCACGCGCAAGGCCTCCTGCACAACGCCCAGGCCCAGGGGAGCCACAACCCTGGCCTGCAGGGGTTGCTGGAGAAGCTGAGCAGGGACGCCGACCAGGCCGAGGACCTGCTGGATGAGGTCCACTACTTCCAGATCCATGACGAGCTCCACGGCACCCACCACGCCACCACCCATGATCTCGACGGCCTTGTCCGCCATCAAGCTCTCCACGCTGGTAGTGCTCTTCGTCACTTATTCCGGTGCTTTTCTTGCTCGTGTACACCCAAGAGCAAGAGGAATGGTGGTGATGATGCTGCTGCTGCCGTTGCCGGTGTTGGTGGTGGTGGTGCTGCTGTTACCGGCGTCACCAACTCAAACTCTGCTAGTGCTGATGATGGTAATACGCTGCATTTCGATAGAGTGTCCATCTCCAGCAAAATCAAGTCCCTGTTACAGGGCATGGAGTCCCACTGTGATTCGGTCTACAAATTGCTCGGTAGTATCCCAGGCAGCAGCACGGTAGTGGCAGTCGTCCAAGATCGGCCTCAGACTGCTTCCATGATTATACAAGATACATTGTATGGCAGGACAGACATTTTTGAGGAAACTGTCAACCGTATCACCGTTGGGGCCACACACACTGTTTCCGTTCTTCCTATAGTTGGTCCAGGGGGTATTGGCAAGACTACTTTCGCCCAACATCTGTATAATGATGCAAGGACTGAAGAGCACTTCCAAGTCAGGGTTTGGGTATGTGTTTCGACTGAATTCAATGTGGTTAAGCTCACCAGGGAGATCCTTGGCTGCATACCAGCAACTCAACAAGAAGGAAGCAGCCGTGTTGCAAATGAAACAACCAATTTAGATCAGCTTCAGAGATCCATTGCGGGTCGTCTCAAGTCCAAGAGGTTTCTAATTGTCTTGGACGATATATGGAAATGTGACAGTGTGGATCAGTGGAAAACCTTGTTAGCTCCGTTCACAAAGGGGGAAGTTGGCGGAAGCATACTACTTGTCACAACTCGATTCCCAAATCTAGCACAAATGGTGGGAACAGTTGATTCACTAGAACTGGCAGGTTTAGAGCCTAATGACTTCTTCACATTCTTTGAAGCATGTATATTTGGTGAAGACAAGAAGCCTGAGCATTACGAAGATGAGTTTGCTGGTATTGCACGAAAAATTGCAAACAAGCTAAAGGGTTCCCCGTTGGCGGCCAAAACAGTTGGTAGACTATTGCACAGGGACCTTTCTCAGGAACATTGGAATGGAGTTCTTGAAAAGCATCAGTGGCTAAAGCAGCAAAAGGATGATGATATCATGCCATCTTTGAAGATTAGCTATGACTGCATCCCTTTTGATCTGAAGAAATGCTTTTCCTATTGTGGTCTTTTCCCTGAAGATCATAGGTTTACTTCTTCAGAAATCAATCATTTCTGGGTTGCAATAGGCATCATAGACTCTGATCACCAAGCCAATAGGAATTACCTGGAAGAACTAGTGGACAATGGTTTTCTCATGAAGAAGGAATTCGATTGGCATGGTCAATACTATGTAATGCATGATTTAATGCATGAGCTATCTAAGATTGTTTCTGCACAAGAATGCCTCAATATAAGTGGCTTAAATTTCAGAGCTGATGCCATCCCACAATCTGTTCGGCACTTACCTATCAACATAGAAGGCACATATGATGCAAATTTTGAGCAAGAAATGTGTAAGCTAAGGGAGAGGATAGACATTGCTAATCTGCGGACTTTGATGATTTTCAGACTATATGAAGAAGAAAGAATCGCCAAGCTTTTGAAAGATAGCTTCAAGGAAATAAATAGTCTGCGTGTCCTATTTATAGTGGTGAAGTCTGCACAATATTTTCCATACAGGTTTTCAAAACTTATCCACCTCCAGTACCTCAAAATTAGTACATCTCACCCTCATTGGGAAATAAGGCTACCTAGCACACTATCAAGATTTTATCACTTGAAATTCTTGGACCTAAATGATTGGCTTGGTAGTTCTGATTTGCCTGAAGACTTCAGCCACCTTGAGAATTTACATGATTTACGTGCTGAAAGTGGACTCCACTCCAATATTCGCAATGTTGGAAAGATGAAGCATCTGCAGGAGCTAAAAGAATTCCATGTCAAGAAGGAGAGCATGGGATTTGAACTGAGAGAACTTGGGGCATTGACAGAGCTTGAAGGATCACTGATTATATGTGGTCTTGAACACGTGGCAACCAAGGAGGAAGCCTCCGCAGCCAAACTATTGTTGAAAAGGAATCTGAAGGAGTTGGAATTATTCTGGTCGGGCAGAGATGGACCAACTACAGATGGTGGTATTCTTGATGCTCTTAAACCACACTCGAATGTTAGAGTACTTACAATTGTAAATCATGGTGGTAACATTGGTCCTAGTTGGTTGTGTCTTGACATCTGGTTAACAAGTTTAGAGACTCTCACTCTAGAGGGCGTATTTTGGAACACCCTCCCACCTTTTGGCAAGCTACCAAATCTCAAGCGACTTAAATTAAAGAAAATTTCTGGAATGCATCAGTTTGGGCTTGGATGTGGTGGCGCTCCAGGGAAATGTTCTATGCGCTTGAAGACAGTTGGGCTTTATGAGATGCCAGAACTTGTTAAATGGGTTGTGGAACCTAATTGTTGTCCCTTTCCAAGTCTTGAAGAAATCAGATGCATCGATTGTCCCAATCTCCGTGTGATGCCCTTCTCGGAGGTATCGTGCACCAATTTGCGCAAACTTGAAGTTTCTGGGTGCCCCAAGATGTCTCTGCCCTCCATGCCTCACGCCTCCACACTGACAGATTTGGTGGTTAACACAGGTGGAAGAGGTGAGTCAAAAACGTTGTTGTCTTATGATGGAAAGAAATTGGTTGTTAGAGGGTATGGCGGTGCTTTGGCCTCCCACAATCTGGATAAAGTAGAAGATATGACTGTCGAAAGATGCGATGGTTTGTTCCCTGAAGAGTTGGATGGTAGTTTTGTCTTCTGTTCAGTTAAGAGTCTCCAATTAAATGTATCTCATTTTACCAGCAAATCATCATCGTCAAAAGTGTTAAACTGTTTCCCAGCTCTTTCTATGTTGAAGATAGATGGCTCCGAGGAATGTGTAATGCAGTTCCCATCTTCCAGCTCACTGCAGGAACTTACCTTCAGGGGCTGTATGGGCCTGGTTCTTGTACCTGTAGAGAAGGAGAATGGAGGAGGAATTCAGCAGGACAACTCATTGCTCCAATCATTAACAATATCCGGATGTGGCCAATTGTTCTGTCGATGGCCCATGGGCATGGGAGAATTAGACACAATTTGCCCTTTCCCTGCTTCCCTGAGGGAACTTGATGTTTGGTACTCTGCCCCAAGCATGAAGTCAATGGCTCTGCTCTCAAACCTCACGTCCCTCACCACTCTAAGGCTAATAAGATGCAGTAATTTAACAGTGGACGGATTCAATCCTCTCATCGCAGTCAACCTCAGAGAACTGGAAGTGCATTGCGAGAACACCTTAGCAGCAGATATGCTCTCAGAGGTGGCAAGGGCCAAATTATTGCCTGCAGGTTACATCTCTAGATTGGAGAAACTCAATGTAGATAACATCTCTGGATTGCTTGTTGCTCCTGTTTGCAACCTCCTCGCCCCGGCCCTCCACACACTTGAATTCAAGTATGATAGGACCATGGAAAGTTTCACGGAAGAGCAAGAGAAAGCGCTGCAGCTCCTCACCTCCCTCAAGGTGCTAAGTTTTTCCTATTGCAGGGTTCTGCAGTCCCTTCCTAAAGGGTTACATCTCCTTTCTTCTCTCAAGGTGCTAGTTGTCCGGGGGTGTGAAAATATCCGATCGATGCCCAAGGAGGGCATCCCGGTTTCGCTGAGAAAACTAGAGATGGATCGTCGCAGTCGCAACGCTGAGATAGGCGAGCAAATTGAGAAAATCAAAAGAACCAACCCATATTTATCCGTCTCGGATTACTACACCCAAGGTAATACTTGTCGCCTCACTATTTTTTTTCCCTATTTCTGATGATGCGAGGTTTATTCGCCATCCATATTTCTGCCTCATCTTAACCACAGTTGTCAAATCTTACAGACTAGCAGGTTCCACTCCACTCCACCACTGTTGCAATCTTTTGTGCACACAAGCTGTCAAACCTGCACATTAATCAACAGATGTGAGATACAACCGACTCTTCATTCTGCAACGCAACGCTAGCTGTTAACTCTACATGATTGATATTTCTCTGCAAGTCACATCTGCCGGTTAGTACCTCCAGAGCCACATTTCTGATCCTTAATTTATGACTGCATTCACGGTGCAAAGCAACCACTTTGGCTTGCTTATTATTTATCTTTCGCCTGCTTGCTTTCTCTAGTTTAATTTATGACTACATTCACAGTCCAACACACGCTTCTTTTCATTCAGTTAGTTTTCATAATATATGTGCATGCATTTTCTTCGTCAGGCTTCTGTTCCCTGTGTGAAATAAAGAAAAGGGCTTGCGATACATCACTTACTCACTTGGTACCCATCAAGAAGAAGACTTGAGTCATAGCTGCAAGAACTGAGTATTGAATCATGGAATTATTATCAGGCTTGTGCTCTTTTTTCGAATGAAGCAGCAGGACTGAACAGAACAGGCCAATTTAACTGTTGGCATCAGTAGCAGGTATTTAACTGCTGTTATTGAAAAAGATTTTTCTTTTCTTACCCTCTTGTATCCTTTCCTTTGACAAGATGCTGTTGCTTTGCAAAAAAGCACCTGATCTAATATCATATATCTAGCAGAGAGTGCTGTCTTGTCTTGGTGCTGCATTTATTTTACAGAATAGTACGGATTCCTACTATCGTGAAATTGAATTGAGTTCCACTATACAAGAGAGATTGCTTTCCAATTTGGTTGATTTTTGAATCTATTTAGCCTGATACTGAATTATTCCTCTAAATTAAATTGATACGGTAGAATTGAGTTTTTTTTCCCAGCAGTGTTCCGATCATGATTTTGTTCTGTGACCACGGACCAACTGATGGATGATGCCAATGTTGTTGGGTGTAACTGTCGTTAGCACAATGCTAGCCAGGACAGTACATTCACGCTTGCTTAATGTCTAAGTGTTATGACCCGCGTATTAGGGGCTTAACCCAGTGGGTTGTGGCCCAAGTTATCTTATTATTATTAGGGGCTTAGCCCAATTATCTTATCATTATTAGAATTGTTTGCTTAGGAGTCAAGTAAACCCCTCTCTATATAAGGAGAGGAGATGTATCAATCTAATCAAGTAAAGAAGCACTCATTATTTGCTCGGCTTTCTGAAGGGAGCCGAGAGACCTAACCCTAGCTGTCTCTTGCGCCACCGCCGTCTCTTCTTCATCGCGCCACGGCGCCCCGCCACCGGCAGCCGCGATCGCATCTCTGTCAACCCTCCCCCTTCCCGTACAACCTACGCCCTAGACCAGGTAGGATCCTAGCTCCTACCAATTTGGTATCAGATAGCTCGGTTTTCGACCATGTCTGCACCACCACCAATCCCGCCGCTGCCCACCACCACTGCGCGACCGCCGATCCTCTCCACCGCGCCGCTGGCCCTCCCCACAGCGCCGCTGAGCTCCACCACCGGCCAGTCCCCCCTCCACGGGTCCACCGCCATCAACCGCCACCGCGCCGTTGGTCTACTCTCCGGAGGCAATGATCGGCGTCCTCAACGACCTCATAACCGCCGTCCAGGGCATCCGGATGTTCTTGGCTAGTCCGTACGGGCCGCCGCCACCTCTGCCGCTGGCCGCCTCCTCCGGAACGCCCGCCCTGCCCTGGTACTCGGTACCCGCAGCACTCGCCGGGGCCCAGCCGTCGCTCCAGCAGTCGTCCGCCATTGTGCCACAATGGCCGCAGTGGCCGGCTCCGGCGATCGCCGCGCCCCCGACGCCTCCCGGGTCCGGGCAGCCGCAGCCCCAGCTGCCGGTCCCACCGCCGCCCGCTGCCGCACCTCAATGGCTACAGTGGCCGGCCCCGGCCCTCGCTGCGACTCCGACACCTCCCAGGTCCAGGAAGCCGCAACCCCAGCTGTCGGTCCCACCGCCACCCGCTGTCACGCCTCAATGGCCACAGTGGATGGCCCCGGCCCTCGCTGCGCCCCCCACGCCCATCACGGGGCCCGGGTCACCCTCGCAGGGAGGCGTACCGATCCAGCAAGTGCGCTTCCCACCGTCACCGTCCCCCATACCGGCCTGGCTTACCGGATCATCGCTGCCACCCATCTACACGTCGGCTGGAGACCTGCCAGCACCCACTCTGCAGTTCGACGATCCCTCCGGCTCGACGGGGTACTCCACGGGCCGCGGCCATGCTGACCGGGCGCCCCAATCCTCGCTGCTTCGCACCTCCGAGCCAGTCGGCCACGGCGCTCCGACTCAGACACCGCCGCCGTTTGCCAAACTGGACTTCGCCACTTATGACGGCACGGAGGACCCCCTCAACTGGCTCAACCAGTGCGAGCAGTTCTTTCGCGGGCAACGCACCCTCTCCTCGGAGCGTACCTGGCACGCCTCTTACCACCTCTGCGGCGCGGCACAGACCTGGTACTACACCCTCGAGCAGGACAAGGGCAGCATGCCTCCTTGAGAGCGCTTCCGCGAGCTCTGCCTCCTTCGTTTTGGGCCATCGATCCGCGGGAGCCGCCTGGCAGAGCTAGGCCGCCTTCCCTTCACCTCCACGGTTCAGGACTTCGCCGAGCGTTTCCAGGCCTTGGCATGCCATGCGTCGGGCGTGACGGCGCAGCAGCGGGCCAACCTCTTCGTCGGTGGGCTTCCAGATCACATCCACGTGGACGTGGAGCTTCGGGGACCCCGGGATCTCCAGACGGCCATGTACTACGCCCGCACGTTCGAGCTCTGCGCGGTGGCCCTCCAGCAGGAATCACCATCCCAGACCGCTGGGTCGCTACCCTGGCCGGATGTTTCCGCGCAGGGTCGGCCTGCTTAGGCTTCCGCGGCGCGCCCGTTTCGCCGGCTCACCTCGGCCGAGCTACTCGAGCGTCGCCACCAAGGGTTGTGCTTCAACTGCGACGAGCCCTACACGTCCGGCCATGTCTGCACGCGACTCTTCTACCTGGAGGCTGCAAGCTACATTCCGGAGGACGCCGTCGCCGCCGACCTGGCTGCCCCAGCTGAAGCGAAGGATTGACGCTGGTTGATCACCTCGAGGAGTTCAACAAGCGCTTCCCCGCCTTACAGCTCGAGGACGAGCTGTTTGTGCAGGTGGGGAGAAGTGTTATGACCGGCATATTAGGGGCTTAGCCCAGTGGGTTGTGGCCCAAGTTATCTTATTGTTATTAGGGGCTTAGCCCAATTATTTTATCGTTATTAGGATTGTTTGCTTAGGAGTCAAGTAAACTTCTCCATATAAGGAGAGAAGATGTATCAATCTAATCAAGCAAAGAAGCAATCATTATTTGCTCGGCTTCCCGAAGGGAGCCGGGAGACCTAACCCTAGCTGTCTCTTGCGCCACCGCCGTCTCTTCTTCATCGCGCCACGGCGCCCCGCCGCCGGCAGCCGCGATCGCATCTCCGTCAACCCTCCCCCTTCCCGTACAACCTACGCCCTAGACCAGGTAGGATCCTAGCTCCTACCACTAAGATTTGGCATCTGAATCTGAGATTGAAGGCAAAAAGATTTACCATCTGCAACTGCAACTTGTGTGGTTTGATGGAAAACAAAAAAGGCCATATCTCATCGTGCATGCATGCATGCATGCATGCATGCATGCTGAGAGAGCAAAATGCTACGCGGGCGCCGTGGGGAAGCAGATCGCCACTAGGGAAGTTCAAGGAAGTAGCCAGTTGGCTGGATTTGAGGTTTCTTTGATGGTGAAAGAGCACTGTCGATACTAACTGTTGTGATTCAGAATGGAATGAAAGGTGATTAATTTCAACTGAATCATTTTTTGTGCAGTGGGTCATTCATTCATCTATGTAAGTATTTCGTCATTACTGCCTTTACTTTGTATACTTATTAATGTGGCCATTAATTTTCTTCCACTTTTACCCGCCTGTGCATATATTCAGATAGCGCCTGTGCAAATACCACCGCACAAGGCAGGGCGGCATCACACATCCTGCTCGTTAGTTGCTTGCTTCATGACGCTGAAGTGGGCGCCCAAGGAACGGAAGGTAACACAGCTCAGTCTTCAAAAACCAATGGCTGTCTAATTTCTCCATGCTGAACTGGGAGAAACTAGCTAGCTAGCTAGCCATGTGGAGGGTACGTACTTGTTAAAAAAAGTTCACAGATTTGAAAAATACTTCACGAATTTATTTATTTATTACAAAAAACAAAAGGAGGTTTTTCGGTTAGAAAAGAGTTTATCCAATTTGTAAAAAGTACATCGAATTTGAAAAACATTTATCAAATTGATTTTTTTATCAAATTTGGGAAAAACGTTCACCAATTTGAAAAAGTTCATCCATTTTGAAAAAAACTCATCATTTTTTAAAAAGGTTCATGAAGTTGAAAAAAGCATTGAATTTGGAAAAAAAAATCATCAACTTTGCAAAAACAGTTCACAAAATTGAAAAAAAGTTCATGAGATTTTGAGAAAACAAATTTGAAAAAATTCATCAATTTTGAAAAAGGTTCATAAATTTGAAAAAAGTTGATGGATTTTGGAAAAGATCGCCGATTTTGACGAAAAGAGATCATCGATTTAAAAAAAATTGAAAAACTGAAAAAGTTCGTGCATTTAATAAGAATTAAAAAAAGAAGAAAAAAACCGAATACAAACTGTCCGGAGACTGACCAGTGAACAGGGAAAAACCAGTTTGGGAAGCTTCCTAAAACCGGGGGCTCTCGTGACATGGAGAAAGAACAAAAAAAAGAGAAGGGAAAGAGGTATATAGGTACAAGCGGTTCGTTGTCCTACTGGTTAGCGTGGTGCTCTCTCAACCGAGAGATTCGAAATTTCGACCTCCCCCACCCCACACCCTGCGCACACCCTCTTTGCTGCAGATTGAACAGAAAAAAAAAGAAGACGGGTCGGGCCAGCGCGGCACGGGGCGCGGTCCATGAAAAGTGAAGAAACGGGCGCCGTTTAGGCTTTGCCAC